TATATATATATATATATGTACACGCGTATATGTATAGACTATGATATATATTTTAGATTATAGAAAAAAAACACAAGTCAGTCGTAAAGAATTACACCTGAAAACTCGGATTGAACGTTTCAGGAATGATGATTATTTCTTCTCGTTGATAAGATTTTTTTGCACGAGATGGGATACCAATTGATTTATTTCGAACGATTTTTTTTTTTTTTTCTTTTTAGCGATGCACGGCAAGTTACGTTGCTTTCCGACTTAGAAGGTGAAAAATTATGTAGAAATATCTGATATTAGAGATATTTCAGAGATATGTCAGATATTTCTCAAATTTTTGTTACACCGAGATAACGATACTTCTTTGATGAACATATCGTGTCTCGAAGTAATTGTTTCTTATTTTTAATCGTTGCGTTCCTCGTTTTGACTGATGCGTTCGGGGAAACATATTGCGGAAATGAATTTTTTTTTTTTAGTAGATGACTAATGCACCTTGGGAAATCTGTGATATAAGACACGATTTTACTCATTACTCCAAGATTTCGCTTTTTGCACTTTGGTTCTTTCATGGGGTACGCACCGATATAATGGAGTGAGATTACACACATAAATATACATTTTTTTGAATTCACATTAAATAATTGATATTTTTTTATTGTTTTTGACTTCAATACGATTTATACTTTTAAAATATCAAAATTTTTACTAAAAAAAATTAAGCAAAAAGTGTACATTTACAAATATTTAAGGCTTCCACTATCTAATATAATATTGCAATATAATATCACAATATGAATAGTATAAAAATAATTTTTCGAATGTAAACGGTAAATTTGAAACATCATTTTAAAAAATCCATTCCGATTATTTTATTATTATTATTATATATATATATATAAATATATTTATTGGCACATAGTATACTTTCTAAAGCGATACAAATTATATCAGAAAAACTAGATTTTGATTATCATATAGTTATGTATACACATACACAATGGGATTTCGTGCAATTCTGCGGTGGTAGGACATATGTTAATTTGGGTTACACATGGTTCAATATGCAATAGCAGACACATGTAAATCAATTCTCGACTCGACTTGTTGTTAAAGAAATGATTCTTTTTCAGTAAAATAATTTGACAAATTAAATTTCAATTATATGCATAATGATAATAATGATAATGACAACCTGGTAACAAACCGAATTTTAGTCCACGAAACGGGTATATAACTTTCTTTTTAGGAATGAATCGGGTGCTGACTTGAAGTACACGATCAATATAATATTTGTATAAATTGCAATCTTAATTTTGTAAACAAATCGATTAATAGTAAAAACGAAAATTAGATTCTAAAGAAATTAATGTAATATTGAAATATAAAAGAAAGAAATATAAGAAATATATACATAAAAAAAATTGCTAGATTTCTTGAAATAGGTAAAAGATGATATATTTGAGGTATACGTGATGTATAGTATAATTTAAGTCTGATTTAAGAAATATTAGATTAAAATACGTGGAATTTGCAAAAATTTCATAATTTTTAAGCACATCATACGTTAATTTTTTTACATAACTAAAAATGAATAAAAGCTGAAATAAATACAACGAAAAATGGTTTAAAGTGTACGTATTAGAATTATTTTCTAATTTTTCAAATAATGTTAAGCTTCAGCTAATTTGTGTAAATAGTTTCATAAAAATTTTCAAGATATATTTTATCTTCGAAATCTTTTTTAAATTTATTTTATAGTATACTGAATGAAAATATATTGTGGTGGATTGTATATAGTAACTATTAATTGGGTTGCACGAGATGAAATAGAGTTTTAATCTTTGATTATTCAGTACCTTTTTTTCGTATTGATAATGTATACATATTTTATCCGCGTTGTGCCCCTTGAGAATACTCGAAAATAAAATATATATTTCTCGTCGCAATCTTTTTATTATCTAGAATATTATTTTATTATGTATTATTATTATTATTATTAATTATTATTATCATTATTATTATTATTAATTATTATTATTAATAATGTTATTTCAATTATGATTATTTAATTTACGTCCAGTATTGTCCAAACTATTAGCTTAGATATTTTTATTATCATTATCAATAGAAATTTCCATTTATACTTGCTACCATTTACACCAATATTTACCAATAATTATTCATCTTGATGTTTTAACTTGTCAAGATTATCACCGCCTAGTATATTGTAATGTTTAATATTATAATATTATTGATATATTAATAATTTTGATTATATTGACATTATTAATAATATATAAATATATATTTATATATATATTATCTATATATATATATATATATACATATATACATAATATATATATATATGTATTACATGTATAGATACATATATATATAAATAAAAATAAATATATATCGTCGTTATCATTGTCTACAAGAACGACTATTTTTCTTCCTTGTTACACGAAAAACCGAGGATTGGTACAGTGCGCCATGTACGTTTAAATTTTTGAATGAGTGTCAAATTGTACATATGACTCGCTAATACACGAGTTATATAGTATGCATGGAGATAAAATGCACATGATTGTTTAATATATTGTGTATATCGCATTTTAAAAAAGTTGAAGAAACATTAAACTATCTAAATCAAGATATCGATCTAGGTTCTCAATCCATTTGTCATTTATTGATGCTATCATATGAAATGCGGTTACACGCTGTCTGTGTAGAAATGGAAAAGATAATAAAAGTAACATTAATTGCGTTTATTCCCGCAACTAAATTTATTTTTAATTAATTTTTAATTGTTTTTACCTTATTTATAAAATGATTCGAAGAAGGATATTATAAAAATTAATTACACAATTTGCATAAATATACGTTTACTCACATTTAGTTGCATTAATATAATACAATCTGTAAATTATATGATCCTTCCAGTTACGAGTTTCCTCACGATAAAGTGTAGCCAAATTTTCTTTGTAGAAAGATCTTTAATGTGTGAAACAGCGTCGATGCAATGAAGAATTCGTCGATTGTACGAACAGTCGGTTAGCAAGCTTGTGTTTCGATGCATTTGCAAGGCTGCAATATCAAAATGATAAGAGACAGAGAGAGCTACTGCTACGGTTAAACTACTACTCCAGGATGTGTTTTATCTGCAACAAAGAATGATGCCGATGTGTGATGATTTTTCGGTAGAGATGAAGAACAAACAAGTATGCGCACGGTGGGTCAAAATTACTGGGTGGTCGTTTGTCGGCAGCCCGTTCGACTTTCCGGAATCGATGATCTTATTCGTCGATCAACGCTGTTTAGCTCGATAAATACGCAAGGAAATCATTCTCTTAGAGATGATTTCACAATGCTTTTGTCTTCTCCACGATTCGAGCTTGGTCAGCGATAATGTACACTTTTTTTTTTGGTTTATTTACTCACTACTAATTACGGAGCTGAGCATCATGTATCTGGGCTTCATCGGTACCTTTGGCGCATCCTTTTGACCTCTCGGTGATTTCTCTTCGTTGAGAAAACGTTTCACCTATAATAAATTGATTTTTTTGCTAAAAAATCATCTTGACTTTATTTTAGATATATATTTTACATTCTAGCATAATTAACCTGTTCATCAATTGCATTAAATTGCCATTTCCATGTATGATTGTATAAAAAAGGTCGATGATCAAATCTGTTATCGTCAGGACTATAACTTTCTGCATGACAGGATGGTGTTAAGATAGTCATTTTATGCCGATTTATTGCATAACATCTATAAAAGTGTTTCACTTTATCCGCTACCTATAAATGAATCCAAATTTAAAAATGTTGATACATTTTGTAGTGACAAGGACTAATAATTAGTTACTTCTTTTGAAGTACATTTATCCCACATATGGACAAGTCTACAAAACATAGTGAAGGGTCCAGCACAATCTTGTTTTCTTAAACGTCCAAAAATACCAAGTTCCTGGTATGTCATACCCATATCAATTTCATCAAGCTGTGCAAGTTGCCCTGCTTGAAGAGGCTCTAATTCTGCAGTTGGAGGAGCATCCAAAATATTATCTAAAGCCGTTATTCCATGTTTTTTCCTAAAACAGAATTAATAATTGTTCATATATATATTTAAAAAATAAAGTTTTTAAAAAATATTAATTTACTAATTATTAAAATATTATTAAAATATTAACCTAAAGTAAGAAAGAAACGATTTTAAATCATTCTTTGCTATTCCACCAATAGGATTGATATCAGCACTACTACAATCATATTTAGTGAAGTATCCTCGAAGCGCCTCGTCAACATTACTGCTTCCTAATACTAGAAGACCACCTGGTCGTCCTCTAACCCAGAGCATCAATTGGGCAAACAAATAAGATATTACCATTCTTAAACGAGCCTTAAAAAAATTATAATAATTTAAAACTTATTTATTTTCTTCTTATAAAAATTATAAAAAATTGAAACTAACTTGTATATTTTGTAGAGCTAAATTTTCTCTAGGAGATCCTCCTTGCACTTTAAATCTTGGTGTTAACTTAGCGACTTGTTGGAAAATGGATAAAATAGCAGATACAGCAGCATCAATAATTATACTATGATGATAAGAACCAATTTGGTTAGCAAGTTCGGCAGCTCGTGTTTTTGTTTCAGCAGATGAGTTTTCAGTTGCCATATAGCATGTGACTAGAAGAATATTGCATAGTTGTTTTGGATCAGTTGGCACATATTCAAAGTCACCAACTATTTTCCTGATGTCAGATAATACCTGTAGATCTAATCAATCATTTATTAAATATATCCTTACGATTAGAAAAATAATAATATATATAATAATATGTATAAACAATTATAATACCTCCTTTTTTAACAGAGTTCACTATCATATCACACATAGAATAAACCATACATGCTGATGAAGCTGAATCAACACCACCACTCAAAG